TGCACAAGGAAGCCCACTTGTCTCCCAGCAGATGGCCTTTAGAGGCAATCCCATTGCCTTTAATGCTAATAGCCATTAATCCCCATGATTTCTATGAATTGGTCCAACTCTTTTTTGAAGCCAACCAAATTGATAGGTAGCACCACATCACATGGTAGCAAATGCCAAAGTTTGATTAAGCTTTGTGTCAATTTTGTCTGTCCTGATTCTTCCAGGACTCAATTTCATTGGGTGACCTCTGGTTTTAGTGTTTTGGGAATGGGAATATAGCTTCTCCTTGCCACTTTATCCACATCATGCATAATTTTGTACATGTTGACCACATCCTTCTCATACATCTCTTTTCTAGGCTAAAAAGTCCCAAATGTTACAGCCTTTCCTTGATAATCTTAATTGCTCTCCTCTGAACCTTCTCTAGTTCTGCTATATCTCTTTTGAGGTGCAGCAACCGGAACTGCACACAATGCTCCAGATGCGGTTGCACCATTGATTTATATAAAGGCATTGTAATATTGGCATCTCTATTTCCAGTACTGTTTCTTATTATCCCTAACATGCTGCTGGCCTTTTTTACAGTGGATGCGCAGTGTGTCAACACTTTCATTGAACTGTTTACCATTACTTCAAGATGTCTTTCCTCGTCAGTCACTGCTAGCTCTGATCCCATTCGTTTGTATGAGTAGTTAGAAATGTTGGCACTCGTGCAACATTTTACACTTGTCATGTTGAATGGCATCTGTCATTTTGATGCCTATTCCCCTAAAGTGCAGAGATCCCTTTGTTGCTCATTTTTATATCTATATTGGCCTCCCTTGTATAGTCATGCCTAAAAATTGTTATCTGTATCCAGGTGTCAGTCCAACAACTTTGTTATTCCTATTTTAGCAATGATGTAATTTTAAATTAAGATAGCAACAGTAGTCTTGCCAGTTTTTAAAACCAGCTTGTGGCTTGTTCCTTTAAGGGGTCATTCATAGATTTGGAAATACTTTTTTGTGAGTTGGCCAGCATGGCCCATCCCCTTCTTGCTGACGTCTGATTCTATCGCACATCAGACTTTTCCCAGTGGAGCTGGAGAATGAGTTCAATGAAAGCTGTCTGCTTGCAGTCTTAAAGGGGCTGCAGGCACTTGAATTACTATTTCCTCTGCTCCTGTTTCCCTAGGAGCATTAAGCCAGCAACACTATTAGGAGGGATGGTGAGGGTATGTGATCATCTCACAGAGCAGGAGTGATCCATTAGTTTCTTTTGATTCACTTTCTCTGTCAACTGCTTGAGAGGATCTATTGCATGCTTTGAAAGAAGCTATGATCAGGCTCAGTTCTGCAAGGCAAGGAATGAGGATCACACTGGCTGAATAAAGTTGTGGCTTCCAGGTCTGAAATAATGGTTTTGTCTGTCCCAGTGATTGCTCTGGGAGCTACATTGGGGACTGCTACTAGCCTCCTTGCCTTATGCGGTCTTACCTGCTTCTGCAAATATATGCGACCTGGGAAAGGATCTTCTGAGAAGGAACGGGATCTGGAGACTGAAAATGCCAAACCCAGCGTGCTTCAGGCACTCCATCAGGTAAAGCAGTGTATTGATTTTGTTCTACTCTTCTTTCAGAGATGCTGCTGCTTACCAAGTGTAGATTCTGAGCAAGGTCACCTAGTGTATGATATAATTTAAGATTTATAGCAATCCTCAATGTTTGCAGAATTTCAGGGTGTAGTGTGACTTCTGTACAAAGAGAAGGAGGGGGGAGGGGCTCAGGTGGCACAGACAGACAGCTTTTGTTTTATGAAAGAGGAAGCTGCATAACAAAGATACAATGACTTCACAATCAGTCTGGTAGCTGGACCAGGTATAATCGATGGACAACTGAAGCCTGGACTGCAGACAGTAATAATGTCTGAATATTGTATAATTCTCATTGATTTATCTATCAACACACCTATGTCCATATGCTTTTGCAACACAGGAAAGCCTTGTGTGTAACTAGTGTGCTAAATGCTGGGCAAGTGTCAGGCATAGCAATATATTTTGGTGAAAATTAATAGAGAGAATCAACATCTAGCTTGCAATGGAAAGGTACTGATGAGAGATATTAAGACAGCTATGAAGAATCTAATGTTATAGCATAACATACATTTAAGTGTCCAATATACACTTAAGTTAGCTATTGTCGTATCTTCTTGAATCATTTCAGGATTTGAACATTGCAGCATATGGGAAATTATCATACATAGGGTTCACAAGGGGGAAGGGGAAAAGTGACAAAATGTGTATTATGATGCAAATCCCACAGTTTATGTACTTGTCGGGACACGAGTAAGTAAAGGTGGGGTTTGCATTGTGACATCACCATATAGCATCATTATTTTGATGTGATCTTGGTTTGCTGTGAATACCTATGTTAGCATATCAATAACAGGTGGGAATGACAAAGGCCTATTAGACAAAGTTTTCAGTTGTATGGGATGAGGTTTCAAATTCCCTACTAGCCATTCACTTACTAAGTAGATATGGCCAAATAGTTTTCTGGAAGCATATATTATGGTAAACCATAATGCGTTTTATTTGCTTTTGCTTTAGCATGATGTGCAAACCCTAACCCTAACCCTAACCCATTACAGCTAGTTCAATAAACTATGGTTAAAAAATCCTCATTTAGAATTATGTATGAATGCATCCATTCACTTGAGTTTAACTACTGTTCTGGAAAATAGTACATCGCTCTATTTGTCAGTTTTCTTTTAAAAGAGAAATAGAACGTATCCAAATTTCAAATAAGACATCAGAACAAAAGGAGTAATATTCAAACCTTCAACCATTCTTTATTATATTAGAAGACACGAATAAATGCAAAAGTATTGATTCTGGGATTATGCTGTGTGTGCTTGTTTTACAGCATATGCAAAGAAGCGTGTGAAGGCTAACAGCTTCTTTTTTGTGGGTCCCAGAGCTTGATGGATCCCCAAATTTGAATCATTTTTTCATATTGGAGGGAAGTTGAGAAGAGGTTTTAATCCTTAAATTAAATAATACTTAAGATGCCCATTTCACTCCATAAAACTCTGGAAGGCCCCTCCCAGAATGGTACTGCCCATTTTTGAGTCAATGGAAGATGTAGACCCTTGCTATTATGAATCAGTAATCTAATAGAATCATATCAGGTTGCAGCATAGAGAAAAAGTAAGTTGATAATTGATCACCATATCTAACTCAAGTATCTGAATTTAAAATATTGCTTAAAACTGTAACAATTTGCTGCTCTTTTGTTCCTTGGAAAAATATACACATGCGCACATATATTAGGATGTACATGAAGTGGGTGCTTTAATGAGTTGCAGACAGATGCTGCATTCATGCTCCTGTGTGTTCATTACCATCTCTTCCAAACTGAATCCAAAGCATTCAGCACCTTACAAGTATGTGTGTGCATACAGACATACATGCATACATACATGCTATTGTATATAAACAGGGAGTAGACCCCACACTCACTAGCACTGATGATGCTACCTAGTTGGATAATGAAATGTCTGCAAGCAAACAACCAAGCTCAGAGAACACCAAGGATTCCACATACATACATACATGCACACATACATACACAAACATATTCACATAGACATTCGGATTACATTAAATCTATAGATAATATAGATTTTAGATAGACAGATAGATGTACATATGCATCTGCTTGAAATATATGTTTTGACCTTAAAGTGAAGAAATATTCTGTTTCATCTGTTTTTAAAAACATATGTAAGTCATATATTAAAAACCATTAAAAGACAAAAGCGACTAGGATTGTTTTCTAATCAGTGCCAAATTATTTTAGAAGGCAGAATGACATGATAAAAATGGCATAAATAAAAAGAAATGTATTTAGAAAAGGCTGACTATGTGTTTCTGTTTTCCAAGTCTGTTGGGGAAGGGGCAGTTCTTCAAAACTCCTGGCTTTATAGCCTACGTGGGCAACTCATGGCCCAGGGTTCAACCTCTCTTGAGGGCCACCAGAACCCCTTCCTCCAAGGTTGTGCTTACCTCCCTAAACCATGAAAGAATGCAGAAAGAAGGCTTTCAAAGAGGGGTAGTTCTCGGAGGCTACAATGCGATACAAAGCAATGCATGCACACGCATACATGCACACACAGGCACAGAGAGTGCTGGAAGATTATCAGTCTCTTCCCTAAGCCACACTGGTTCAAAACTGAACTGGAAATGTTTAGTTTTTTTTTATCAAAGGTGAAAAAAATAATTTCTGAATGAATAGGAGCATCTCTGAGCTCATCTGCAGTTTGGCTATGAACTCTTTTTGCAAGACATACAGCTTGTAGTTGAAATAATAAATTGCATTTCTTGGAAGGGGGTGATAAATCCCCCTTAGATACATTGCCTTTCACATGCCTTTGCCTTATCTAATGACCTTTTTTACCATTTACCTTCAGCCCATAGGATAAGATTATGGTACAGTCTGGTCACATTTCAGTTCTACGATTTTTTTTTCTTCCTAGCATTTTTCCTGCAGGTGCAGGGTACACTTTTTTCAAATCAACCAAATATTGATCCATCGGTTCCGGCAGGATTTGACTGACTGGCTTGTTGCCCAAGCCTGATGTTGTGGGCTGAGAGAGAGCGACTGGCCCAAAGTCACCCAGGGGGCTTTCATGCCTAAGGCAGGACTAGAACTCAGAGTCTCCTGGTTTCTAGCCTGATGCCTTCACCACTAGACCAAACTGGTTCTCCACATTTCAGTTATACAATTGTAGAACACTAATCTGGTTGAAATCTGTTTCCATCCTTCACATTTCAGAAGAGCTATACCAAGGACCCATAGATTATGTCCCATGGGACTTGTGACTTCTCACTTGGGTAATCAAATTGTTTGCAATAACATTTAAGTCACAAACATCTCTGTAACTTAGGTGAGCTTGCAAGAAAGTGATGTGTCAGGACCATTCAGTAGTCTTCATAGGTGAATATGGAGAGCTATGCATACAATAACAATATACTATGGAATATAATGCAATACTAGAACATCTAGGGTGAAAGATTCTAGCTATTGCATTATATTCCATCGTCTGTTGTTATTGTATGTGTTAGTTTACTCTTCTTGCCTCTGGAGTTGCTTTATAGAGGGACAGACAGAGCTGGGGGAAGAAGAGGAAGAAATTAAGAGCTCTTGAAAACAAAAGTGCATAGTTTGATGATGGAGGACCAGGAGAAAATTCAAAATTAGTCCCTGGTAACACAAACTGAAAAGGGGTTTCCAACAGCAAAACTGTCTGGATACTTGGATAGTTGCTACCAGTCACAATAGACAGTACTGGAGTGATGGGTGGAATGACAATGATGCAGGGGGTGGGGGTGGTTTACATTAAAGAATTGTTTAATGCTGTAAAAAATACTATGTGGGGATCATTTAGGGTGCAGTCCTAATTAGTAGATCTGACTCATGTTGCCTAGCAACTAGGTGGTCCAAAGTAAATTTGTGTTATACTTCTTGCATGTTTTAAAAAAGACCTAGTACATTGTAGACATAATACAGTCTTGACCTCTGCCGCTGTAAAATGACAGACCTCTGCTTTTTGCATGGAAAACTTGAGCCTTGGGGTAAACAATCTTGAAAAAAGGTATATAACACACATTAGACTGCTTCTTGAGGCTTTTCTACTAAAAGAATCACTGAACAAGCTATTCCTTCCATGTAATGAGCTTTCAGGAATTTAGCCTGATGCCAGATTTTATCTGTAATATACAGACCGTGTCACATGCAAGCTCTTTTACGCTTTCCTTTCTGCTTTTACCTCCACTGTGCTGCAGAGGTTCTATGAAAGCCTTGTGAGTTCTACTTTAAATGAAATAGCTTCTGAGAGATACTTAATGCCCAACAAATCAAGACAAAGGATTGATCACATCACTGAAATTGGGGCGAGGGAAGCTACTTGTGTTGTAGTCACAACTGCCCTGTCTATTCAGAATCCATCTTCTTAATGTTGGGCTTCTGTTGCAATGGTGTGATATGAAATATGTCCCGCTGAGGTTAATCTGTAAGTGTCTGTTTCAGCATCTGCCAATGCAGTCCGTGAACAAGGAACATATATGTGTGAATTGGGATCATAATTACATGATTAAAGGAGCAGCCTAATCTGTCTGCCTAATCCTGAGAATTGCTTCTGCTTTAAAAAATGCCAGGAAAATGGTTTCTTCCCAAATGTCTGTTTTAGAAGAGATGCATATAGCTTCCAATTCTGAAACTTAATTCGGTTTGTTTGTGTGGGAGGTGTATTTTCATGTTCCCTGAATCCATTTATAACAGTTGCTTTGCACATATGATTATTATAGTAGGTTTCCATCCATGAAAAACTATCATTATGTGGAGCACATAGATTCATGTTTGTTGATACCAGGAAGCATGATATTCTTGAGGGAACTAGCATGCCATGATTTGTTTTGCTTGATTTGGGTTTAGCATGTCATGTGAATCCATCTTTGTACTTTGTAAACCACAGTTAAGTGCATTTAGCCAATTGTGGTTTACTCAAATCATTGTTCAGTAACCATGGCTTAGTATGATCCACGAATATTCCCATGCAGGATTGAAATGCCATAAACCGGTGCCCTCCAAATGTGTTGTCTTAAACTTCTATAATCCTAAATCCAGTTGGAAGCCATCAAGTTTGGGAAGTCTGATGTAGATAATACATGCAGTTTATCTAGCTCTAAATCCTACCAAATGTATATTTTATTTGCATATTTTTAATTTGTGATGGGCCTCCCTTACAGCAGAATTTTTCCTTCTGCTTTGAGCCAGCAGCTGGTGTTTGTTCAGCCTAGCAGTGATTTATTGCCAATTTTACTCATGCCAAAGAAGTGTTATTTAAAGCCCCAGTATTTTACAGATTGTCCTTATTCAAACTTTTGCTTCAGATAATTTTATTTACCACAGAACTTATTTGTCAAAGGGTGTGGAGATCACTTTTTCATGAGTGACAGAGCAGGTCATATACACAATAAACAGGAGCAGATGCAGCCGGCAACGCGGTCGATCGGTTCCCCACTGTAGTTATATATGGCTCCCAAGGGGGCAGTCTCTTGTTACATGATGTCGGAGTGCCACTAGAGTGTCTGGCTTCTGGCAAGATGGCTTCAATAAAGTGCCTCATATTTATGATTCCACTGTTACTTAAGTAAGATAAAATACTCCATAATATATACATGAGGTTTGTGATGGCCAAAAATATCCACTTGGGCATTAGTAAGGATAGTGTAGAACACTATCTGTGGTAAAATTTTGCTCATGCATGACAATACACCTTTGAAAAAAAATGTATTTTATGGACAGGGGAATTCTGAGCAGATGCCAAAGTGCTCTGAGGTAAGAGACTCTGGTCCAGTCATTTTCCTGCCAACTGCAGCCCAGCAGGAAAGAAATGAGCTATTTTTTTCTTAAAGATTTTCTTATTCTTTACTTATAATTGAATTGCTAATACCAAATTAAGGGCTGTTGTGGGGAGTAAGAAGTGACAGGGATTACAATCCTTGGGATCCTCAGCCCATCCTCACTGCCTCTTCTCTCTCTCCCCCCCCCCCCCCCA